GTCGGTATAATTTGTGGAGGGGAAGGGGAAAAAACAAATTGTTTAAATAGGGATACAGGTGGACCCATTGCAACAATGAGATGTACAAGTCCTTATGTCAAAAACGAACTTTACAACTTTGGTGTGGGGGCGGGTGGTCGTGTGGGGAGGATTGGGTGGGGGCGTGGGGGAAGGATGGGAAGGGATGGGAAGGGGAAACAAAGGAGGAGGCTACAATGCTTGATAAAAAATGTACTCATTTTCTTGCCCATGTAATTGTAACCCCTCTGTACAGTATTTTCACAATAAAAAATGTTCTCTTGAAACTCATTTAAAAAATAAATGGAAGTTTTAAAAACATTCTTGTCTCTCATTGAAAGGAAGTCACTTGTTTGAAGTCTCATATTGGCCTTCTTTTTTTTGAAATGTTCGTTATCTTTTTTTTTTTTTTTTTTGGTCATGGGGCTTGAACTCTGGGCCTGAGTGCTGTCCCTCAGCTCTTCAGCTCAAGGTTAGTGCTCTACCACTTGAGTTACCGCACCACTTCCAGTTTTCTGGTGGTTCATTGGAGGTAAGAGTTTCATGGACTTTCCTGCCCGGGCTGGCTTTGAACTGCAATCCTTAGATCTCAGACTCCTGAGTAGCTAGGATTGCAGGTGTGAGCCACTGGTGCCCAGCTGTTGGTTATCTTTCTATAGCTAGCCATTGTTTATCCTGCTCATTTGTAAGAGAAGCATTCTGTACATTGTGTTGGAAGTTAACAAGGGCTATACCAGAATCCATGCTAAGTCCCTGTTCAGTGATTGCTGTTCATGGCATATTTACTACCTAAGTGTTATGTGTCATCATGAGGAGTAGAAGGTGGTGGCTGGTGAGGGCACTGCATGGCAGGGAATGGTCCCTGGGTACACTTCTGCTCTATGTTGGAGCAATGGCAATACTACAAGTTCAGATGTCTAGGTCAAATAAAGAAGCTCCTGGAAGCCAGATGCAGATGGCTCATGCCTGTAATCTTAGCTACTCAGGAGACTGAGATCTGAGGATCATGGTTCAAAGCCAGCCCAAGAAGAAAAGTCTGTGAGACTTTTATCTCCAATTGACTGCCAAAATAAGCTGGAAAAAGAGCTGTGGTTCAAGAGGTAGAGGACAAGCCTTGAGCACAAAAACTTAGAGACAACACAAAAGCATTGAGTTCAAATCCCAGGACCAGCATACAGAAAGAAGGAAAGGAAAGAAGGAAGGAAGGGAGGGAGGAAGGGAGGGAGGGAGGGAAGGAGGGAGGAAGGGAGAAAGAAAGAAAGGGAGGGAGGGAGGGAGGCAAAAGAAAGATAGAAAGACAGAAAGAAAGAAAAAAAGAAAAGGAATGAAAAAAAGAAAAGAAAGGAAGAAAGCTCCTACTTCAGTGGAGCAGTTAGGTTTTCCTTTTCATTCATGCTCTATCCATGTTATGTGAGTTCAGTGTTAATTAGAACAAATGCACATGAAAGCATCCTTTTACCATAACACCTTTGTTTTGACTGGCATGCCAGAGCCAGGTGAAAGCTGAGGAGGGGCATAAAAGTCAACTGCCTTGTGTGCAGGGCACTAGTGGAATTACATTTATCATAGGATCTATCTCTAAACAGTTCTGTTTTTTTTTTTACCTTCACCCCTCCTGCTCTAGGCATTTAGGTTTCCCAGAGCTGTGGGAGAATGTTATTCACTTACTGCTTCATGGCAGCTTCTTTTCTGCATTCAGTTGCAAACTGATAGATACTTTACTTGCTCTAATCCTACCTATACCATAGTTAACAGGACCCCCAAAGTATTGGGATGTTGGTGGCATTCTTCTTTGTTTTCTAAGGATGAAACTCCCCTAATTCTGTATTTTGTTTGCTTTTTTGTGTGTGGGTCATGGGGCTTGAATTCAGGGCAAAGACATAGTCTTTGAACTTTTTTGCTCAAGGGCAGTGCTCTACCACTGGAGCCACAACTCCATTTCTGGCATTTTTGGTGGTTAATTGGAGATAAGAGTTTCATGGACTTTCCTTCATGAGCTGGCTTTGAACTGGGATCCTTAGGTCTCAGCCTCCTGAATAGCTAGGATTATAGGTGTGAGCCACCATGGCTGATTGTGTGTTTCTTATGTTATGCCAATAGGTTTTATAAGGGAAAAATTACACTCATAGACTCAGATTTTTTTAAAAGAACCTCTTATACATGTATCTACCTGTGTGGAATGCTTTTGTGATGTGTGGGTATATTTCTTCTCCTGCGTTCTCTTTATCCACCAATGTATCTGTTTCTGTAATAGATGATTCCACACGTGTTGCTCTTGGAAAAAACAAAGACTACATCAATGCTAGTTACATTCGAATAGTCAATTTTGAAGAAGAGTATTTTTATATTGCTACCCAAGGACCACTGCCAAACACCATAGATGACTTTTGGCTAATGGTTTTGGAAAATAATTGTAATGTTATTGCCATGATAACCAGAGAGATAGAAGGTGGAAATGTCAAATGTCACCATTATTGGCCATACTCTCTGAAGGAACCTTTGGAGTTGAAACATGTCCGGATCTTCCTGGAGAACCACCAGATACTTAAATATTTCATCATTCGAATGTTGCAGATTGTGAAGAAGTCCGTAAGTTCAAAAAAGAAAAAGTCAGTACTAAACATATGTTTTATTTCACAAGCAGATGTGTTAAGACTAGAAGTTAAGATAGAACATAGACTGAAGAAGACTCTTTTCTTAAGTAATATTTTTACTTCTCTCTGGAAGCAGAAACTAAGCTACCACTATTTCTACTATCTCAAACTTTGGAGAGAAAAGATCATTGAAAAGGAGAGGTGGAGTGGGGAGAGTGAATATTCGAAGTTGTCTGGTTCTAGCTCCTCTACCAAGTGTGGCCGATAAATAGGTCCTTCAGGTGTGCTAATCACTTATATAAGGAGGATGAATGATGAACTGAAAACAAAAAAGTGAGCAGCACTGAGTTTTGTGAATGCTTCTTTCTTGGGGATGAAACACTAACAAGTTAGTGGGGAAGGAAGCTAATAAAGCCAGTTGTAGATGGTGTGTGTGTTTAGGGGATACAGGAGGCACAGAGGAATGAGAGGCTTGCAGTGGTTTGTCTACAAATGCTGTGGCTGACCTGTTGAGCCTTGGCAAGGGGGTCTAGAAGAGGAGTATTTGGGCTGAGGCCCACAGGGGGTTACCAGGTGGAAAGCCTGCAATAGGATTCTGTATTTATGGCACAAGATCAAGAACTGGTGAGGCCAGCCTTCATTGAGAGGTCATTAGTGATCAGACAGATATATTCCCCCTGAAATATGATTCAATGACAACAACCCTCAGCTTGCTGCCTTTCAAGTATTGTGGCTATTATTCAATGTCATGTACCAACCTTGAGAGCTCCCTAATCCTAATCTGAACAGTAATGAAAACACCTGCTTTACAGGGCTGATGATTGAGATTAAATGAGATAATTTATATAAAGCCTCTTCTAACATAAAACCTGATATATATATATATATATATATACACACATAATGTATGTATTCATTTGTGTATATCATATATAGTATATATAAATAGTGTTGTATATATATTTTTGAACTGCTTGATTCATGTCACCTGTTAATATTCTTATCTCATTATTGCTGTTATACTCTCTTTTGTGAAATATAGAAAAACTCCAAACCTACCAACCTCCAGGATTCTTACAAACATCAGAATTTGATTTGAGTATGCTTTGAAAGCCCTCTATAATGCCAGTATAATGACTGCTTCCACTGTCAGCATCATCATTACTATTATTGGTGTAGCAGAAGTTGAAATGAGCTCTTTAATACAAGCAAATCATTGAATCTTTTCTGTCTCTCACAGACAGGAGCTGCTCATTTTGTAAAACACTTGCAGTTCACCAGCTGGCCAGACCATGGCACTCCTGCCTCAGCAGATTATTTCATAAAATATGTCCGTTATGTGAGGAAGAGCCATGTGACAGGCCCCGTGGTGGTTCACTGCAGTGCTGGTGTGGGCCGAACTGGGGTATTCATATGTGCAGATGTCGTGTTCTGTGCCATCGAAAAGAACTATTCAGTAAGTGTGAGTCAAGCAAATAAACTCTTGTTTACAAACACACCACTTCTAACAGTGTGATAACACTGGAAGACCAATAGCCAGCCAGCCTTAAGGAGCAAGGTAGTATGTGGAAAGCACTTGTGTGTGTAGACTCTCTTGTTCTGCCTTATTCTGCTGCAGTTTCCTGGGGTGGTGGTGCGGTTTAAAGTTTATTATGTAAACAGATGGCTTAGGATGGTATCTGGAATAACTTCTCTTCACCCCTCCACATGGTTTTAATATCTTGCTTAGAGAATGTCCAGAAGTATTTTACTTTTCTGATTGAATATTTCAAACTAATCACTGAGGGATGTGCTGGTCCATTTAGGCCGGTCATGTCTGCTATAGCCTGTATGGTTAAAAATGGAAAGATAGGCCTTTCCAAAGCAAATTCAGAGTATTATTACACAGAATAAATATAAACCCAGTGATCAAAATAGAGTAAATGTCCTCCAACATGTTGACATTTTTTTATAGGATGAGTCTGGTTTAAATTTATTTCCATAAATAATGTTGTTTTACCCTTTTAGCAGAAAATGCAATAGCATAATGTCTGTAGCTTACATATTCATCAAAATTTCTTCAGTGATTTTTCTATAATTATCTGCATTTTGTATGCCTTATAGCAAATGTAAAAGCTGCCTTGATTGAGCACTTTACCCCCACATCATAGCTGCCTTAAACTTAAAAAGTATAATCAATATTCTGTAAGTTTATTTGGCAATGTTTTTCTTTTTTAGTGGTATATAACATAATGGTGCATCTTCCAATTAAGAATACTTAGAGTTGATGAAATACAGTGGTACAAAAATAGGAAATATACTCATGGTTTCTTTATTAACTTTCCACACAGCTCTGGAACTGTCACTAACTTAAATACTTCATCTCCTTAGAATTGCTTTTTTAAAATACCAGAGCATGTTTATTATCTTCAGCAAGTAAAACATACAGAATTTGAGAGTAATCACTTATAAACTTTAAATCAGTTCCATATATTGGTATTTCATCCAAGAATGTATTCAGTGGGTTGAGCTTTGTTTTAGTTCACTTCAATCAGTATAAGACTGGGCAGTCTGGGAAAGAGAAGTTGAATATATAAAGGTTAATTTGGTCTCATAATCTAGAGGGCTGTGAAGTTCAAGATCAGGGTAATACATCTGGTGAGGGCCTTGTGCTGCTTAAGCTTATGGAGGAAGAGAGGAAGAGAGCATGTGAGAGGCAGACTGCTTTACATCAGCCTCATCCAATACAAGTCTAGTGAAAGTGAGAACTCACTGAGAAAGGCATGAGTCTGTTCTTGAGGACTTCCCATCCATGACCCAAGTACCTTCTACTAGGCCTCCAAACACTGCTATATTGAGAAAATAGGGTTTTATTATTTGTTTGTTTGTTTATTTTTTGGCTGGTCCTGGGGCTTGAACTCAGCTTGGGCACTGTCCCTGAACTTCTTTAGCTCAAGGCTGGTTCTCTACCACTTGAGCCACAGTACCAATTATGGCTTTTTCTGAGTAGTTTATTGGAATTAAGAGTCTCATGGACTTTCTTGCCTGGGCTGGCTTTGAACTGTGATCCTTAGATCTCAGCCTCCTGAGTAGCTAGGATTACAGGCATGAGCCACCAGGGACCTGCTAAAAATTAAGCTTCCAACACATGAACTTTGGGAGATAGACTCAAACCATAAAGCCTTGTGGAATGGGCTTCAGGCTAGTTTTTATGTTGTGGGACTCATGTGGGAAATCTTATGAAGTGTAAGTTACCTGCCAGTGGTATATGCTAGACTAGCTATAACCTGTTTAAGATTAGTTTATCGGGCTGGAAAGTTGACTCAGTGGTAGAATGCTTGCCTCACATGCATAAGGCTCTGGATTTGATTCCTCAGCACCACATAAGCAGAAAAAAAAAGCTGGAAGTGGTGCTGTGGCTCAAGTGGTAGAGCGCTAGTCTTGAACTGAGGAGCGCCCAGGCCCAGAGTTCAGCCCCCATGACTGACAAAAAGAGATTAGTTTATCAATTATAATTCTAAAGATATGAGAATATGTAATATGTTCATGGGACTATGAGAATCTAGACTGTTTCCTCTCCGAAGTCATCTTCAGTGTACAGTAACAAATGTTCATTATCAGCAAACATGATGCAGAGAAATGTCATGCAATGAGGGGAAAAGTTCAAATTTAAACATATTGCCCTTTACATAATCAAAATTCTGTTACTCATACACTAAACACATTGTATAGTTCATCTGACAATTGCTGGTGTGTGTGTGTATGTGTGTGTGTGTGTGTGTGTGTGTGTGTGCGCGTGTGTGTGTGTGTGTGTGTGTGTTGGGTAGTGAAGTAGCATGCTGATTCATCTGACGTATTTTTTTGACCTGTGTAACTACATTATACTGTTTTCTCAGATGCTTCAACTTTGCTGTTAGAACATCATCTTATAGAAACATCTTATAGCTTTAATTCACCTTTGTGATAAGGTGTTTTACATTTAATTTTTAATTTATCTTTTCCATTTTTGTTGTTTAGAGCCAGGTGTATTTGTCAGTAATCAAACTGAACTGTGAAGAATTCTTCCTTATCACATGTTTATCTCAAACATGTACTGAGCCACTGATAGTAATATCTATGAATTATCTATGAATTTATCAAATAGCAATGGTAAATAGTTTTCCACTTTTAGTTGTTGTAACTTCATACCACTTGCAAACATTAGCTGGCCACCAGTTTTATGAAGCTGTTGTATCATGAGAAAATAAGTATCTTTTTCTTACCATGTATTCACAATTTCCAGGCAAACATTATTAGAACAGTTTTTCACCATTTTGTTGATTGTGTATAACTTTTAGTCATAGCATTTGAAAGCACTGTTTTACAAGAAGTTTGTAGAGCATTATTGTTATGTGTGAAACTTTGGTAATCACTTCTCTTTTTTTAAGCCTAATATTTTATAAGACAATTCTTTACCTTTGAATTAATTCCTGTTTTTGGTAAGTGATAAGTTAATAGCTCTTTTGATTAGTTAACTAGAACATCTCTGCAAATAACATAAGTATGGTTTTAGCACTTCACAAACAAAACTCAATATGAGGAATCATAATTTAGAATATAATTAGTATGAACCCTTTTGGACCTAGCATAACTCCTGAAGAACTTTTCCTGTTGTTTTTCCAAAATTCTAGAGTTTCATATTTTAGGTATAAGTCTATAGTCCACTGAGTTCACAGTTGTATGCAGTATGAGGTTTAAATGAAGATTCACTTTATTTATTATTTACTTATTTATTTTTTCCTTAAAGATATCCAGTTATTCTAACACCATATATTGAAAATGTATCTATAATTTATTCTTTAAAAGACCCAAAGGAGAAGATGAAAAGAGATGCTACAATTTGGGAGAAACTATTTGCAAACCATATAATCCAGGAGAGATTTTGCAGCTAGAATGTATAAAGAACTCTAAAAGATCAACAGTTAATGAAATTCAAACAAGCCACCTAGAAATGGTTAAGAGACTTTTTGACAGAAGAGAATATACACATGTTAAGCACATGAAAGATGTGCTGCTTCATTAGTGTTTGGGGAAATGCAACCTAGAACCATGATTAATTTAGCACTACACAGATCTCAGAATGGCTAATGTAAAAATTGTGAAAAGAAAATGCTGGTGATGATACAGAGAAATACTGGTAAGAGTGAGAGCACCTGGACTAGTCTAGATTACCCTTTTATACATTGAAAGTTTAAAATGATACAGCTACCAGGGAAGATGGTTTTGCAGCTTCTAAACTAATCTAAAACTACCATATGATACAGAATTTAAATGCTTGCGCATGTATTTCTCCTAGAAGTGAAGACTTATATTCATGTGAAAACCTGTACACAAGTGTTCCTGGCAATGTATATTCATAATAGCCCCATCCTGGAAACAAACCAGATGTCCTTTAACAAGCTTACATAAACCTGTATACATCCATGCTATTGAGTTCTGTTTAGCAATAAAAAGGAATAGACTATTGATATACATAATGGGCTGGATGAGCTCAAAGTTGATTTCAAATGGTTAGATTCTGTATGATTCCATTCATAACTGTCCTGAAATAACAAAACCATAGAGATAGAGAACTGGTTGTCAAAGGCTAGTGATTGAGATGGATGGCTGTGGCTGTAAAGACACAGCATGGAGAATTCTTCTGATTGACTGTGGTTGCAGTTGCATGGATTCTTCACATATGATTAAACTGCATAACATAGAACTTCACACAACATGATACACAAGATTGCATGCACACACATGCATACACAAGATTACATATAAAAGAGGAGACATCAGATTTTTTTGTTAGCCCAGTAGTTGTTGTTGTTGTTTTTTTAGTTTTAATGTTATTCTGTGGTTTTGGTTCAGCATGGTCTCATTATGGGAAGATGGCAGGATGATATCATTAGGAGAAGTGAGGAAAAGGATATACAGGACCTTCTGTAGGATTTCCAGTTTATATTACAAAAACGAAGTTTTTGAAAGGTTTCATTAAAAGTGTAAATTATTATAAAAATGAAAACTTATTAAAGGAATGCCTACCTGTTAAGAAATTCTTTTTTTTTTTATTGTGAAAATACTGTACAGAGGGATTACAATTACACGGGCAAGATAACGAGTACATTTCTTATCAAGCAGTGTAGCCTCCTCCTTTGTTTCCCCTTCCCATCCCTTCCCATACTCTTCTCCCCCCCAGCCCCCCCACCTAATCCTTCCCCCACCCCCCCCACCCCCGCACCAAAGTTGTAAAGTTCGTTTTCAACATAACAACTTGTACATCTCATTGTTGCAATGGGTCCACCTGTATCCCTATTTAAATGATTTGTTTTTCCCCTTCCCCTCCACAAATTAAACCGACATCAAATACAGTGAAAGCAGGGGTTATACGTGGGTAAGAGATTATTTCTTTGTTGCTTTGTATGTCCCTGTTAAGAAATTTTATATATTCTTTGGGTTATAGTTAACAAACCCTAAAATATGTGTCAGCATACCCTGCAGCTCATGATTATGCTTATACTATCTGTGATTCTTCCAACATGTTCATCAGTGTTGAGCTGGTCTGTACCTATTCAGCTAAGCACATTCCTCTGTGCTCTATTGTCGTAACAGTTTCTAAACTCTTCCAGTTTCTGGACCCATCTTACTGTACACTAACAGCAGAACTTGACCCGAACCTACTTAGTTACCAGCCCTAGTCTTGCTGGTCTCCCTATTGTAGGGGAAGAATCTGTCATGTGCAAGTTGACAGGGTTCTTTACATAAGAAACAGCTATGCTATTCTCATAGCCAGAGAAAGCCTTTTCTGTTTTTCCAGAATTACAGTGCTGCCTTCAGTTCTCTTTTTGGATAATACAAAGTAATATGCAATGGTAAATTTATTGTCATTTATTTTGGAGAGGATTTTTTAAACTGTAGAATATTTCTTATTAAAAATAATGCTTCTGCTTTCTCTTGAAAATGTACTAAAACAAGTCTTCTTCATTTGGATTGCTTTTTAAAATTACATTTCCTTGTGACTGGTTATATCTCTTTTACTGTAAAAGGGATAGAGTATTCATTTGACAATCCATAGGTTTTTGTTTTTTCCCCCTACATAAATAGCACAAAATTACTCTCATCTTGTTACAGTTCAACATCTTGAATATAGTAACTCAAATGAGAGAACAACGTTATGGCATGATTCAAACAAAGGTAAGCTTTTCACAAATAAATTCTAAGAATGGTAAGTAGAAAGATTAGCATTGTGTAGCAGTTTACAATTTATGAAGCTCATTTACCACTTGATGTCGTTGAATTCTTACTTTGCTGTGATGTTGTATACATTCAGACCAATGAGGTCTGCAACTCAGAGTCACTTGGACAAGCAAGGGTGAGAGTAGCACTGAACTCCATAATACTTAAAAACACAATTTGAGGTGTCCATTTGCTACTAGAATATCAAGGTTATTGGCATGTTACAAAAAGATGTTGTTATGTCACAGATTAGTAATGAATAACCAGAAGAAGAGATTAAAGAATATTTATGAAACTATCCATATATATAATATGTAATATAATATGTTATATTATAGGCAATATTAATATCTAAATATAGTATATAAACATGTATATATAATATGACACATATTATATATGATAATATATAATATAACATACACTATATACATATTTATATATAATATATATAATATGTATCATATATAATACACGTGTGAAATGTGATTAATGTGAGACATTTTAGAATTAGATTTATATTTGCCAGAGAAGATACAGCGAAGTTGATAACAACTTTCCCCTTAACTTACTTCATAACTACCTTGTGATCATTTATCTTCCTCATATTTTATAAGATATATTTACATAAACATGTCCTCCTGTATTCATAGTTAAGTGTTGGTTTTTTGTGGAGCTTTTTTATGTGCCTGAAAAATTAAAATGTGTTCTCCAAAAGTGAGCATTGGTGTTCACCCCCTTATCACTATGTTGGTTTTTGTGTATGTGTACATAGGAGCAGTACCAGTTTTGTTATACAATTGTGCTTGAAGTGCTTCAGAAACTTCAGACTTTGGAATAAGACTTTTGTTGCCCCTCAGAAATTACCAAGTGGCTTGGAGTCTGACCTGCTGTGAAGAGTTTTGCTGTGCCTATAATGTGCTTTCTTGGTTTATCAATTGATTTTTTTCTAAAATCTCCATGAAGGTAGCATCATTTGGTGTGGACAGTGTTTACTCATTTACCTTTCTGGATGATATCAAAATAACCTCTCACACTGTCCAGTAAACTTAAGTTACATAAAACACCTTCATCTTGCCTAATTGGTTCAAGGAATTACAGATCCCAATAAAAGACTTCAACTATCTATATTCATTAAGATTTTATTTTTGAAGATGGCCAAAGGAAGTCAAGGATTTCCAAGACTTTGTCAACTCTTATTCTGGAAGAACATAAGATCAATAAACTACAGGTTTACATCTTGACTTCTGGCAGGAATTTTCAAGATGTATTTATCCATTTCTTAATTTTTACTTTCAGCTAGTATTTGAATAACTCTGTTTAGAAAGAGTCCAAATAGAATGGGTTATGTTTTGAGATAAATTGGCTCCAATTTCCTACACTTCATGCTCTGAGGAGCAACTGCCCTCCTAGAGCATCCTGACAGACTTTGCTACTTTGCGGCAGTCTACTTTGAGGACTGTAGGCAGTCCCTCCTTTTCATCATATGACAGCTGGTGAGCAGTCTAAAAATGCAATAAAATAGATGTTTACCTAGAACATCCTAGAGGAAATGTTTGCCAGTCCTGACTTATTTCCTATTCCACCCTCACACTTAACCTAGTACTCAGTCTGCTTTGTTAAAAGCAAATATTGTATTTTACTTGCCTCTTATTCTTTAGCTAACCAATAAATTTTGACATAAATATTGTTATGTAATTCTGAGTTATTCATGGTGTTTTTTTTTACACCAGACATGTTTTTGAAGCTTTGATCTATGATAGCTTTTTCTCCAGTTCCACTGAGTCATTGCTTTGCATTGCTGTTCCACCTTTGCTGAGAGAAATAGGTGTTGGATCTGGAAACAAGATCTTGAAAAAGTAAAATTCAAAGTTATGGAAATGAAAACTTCCATAGAATAGTTTTGAAAAGGTTCTGGCTTATTACATACATCATATTATAGGACTTGCCTCAAACACTTATAATGATATTTTGGTCAAGGAGTTATGGTGATCAGTTATGCTTAATTATAACCTACAAAGCAGTTCATGAGGGACTTTGTACAGTGATGTCAGTGGGGATCATAATTGTCTGGGTAATATGTTGAGAAAAAATTAATACTAATTTATAAATCCTAGGTTTTTTATGAGGATTATTTTAATCCTTTGGCTGAACAAATACTTGAATGGGTCAATTAGAATTTATCATTCTCATTTGAAAAATGATATGCCAGAAGTGTATATGATATTAAATCAAATTGATTCTAGCTGTTTGTATTGCTTTTATAAATAATAGTCTGTGTGAACAATAATTTTATTTTGATGATTGGCCTTTAATATTTGCACCTGTAATTTTATTTTTATTGTTACTGTAAAATAATAGGTATAATGTGTAACGATGTTCCTGATGAGGATTTTATGCTGTTATTTAAATGAAAATGTTTACTATGTGTTCCCTGAACTATTTTTTATTTATCTGGGCTTTATGATTTCTTGTAAAGAACAATTCCTGTGTCTTGATGTTAAACATGTCCCTTCTTTAGTGTGTTTAATGTATGTCTCATATTTTTACACCTGGGCTATTTTTAGTTTTCCAGGGAAATTAAATAATTATGGAAATACTGATTGCCTGTGTTTTCATTTTATTCTTAGAAGGTGAATTTCATTTAAATTTAAAACTTTTCATTAATTGAAATACTAACTTTTACACCAATAATGTCATTTTCTGCCTAGGATATTAACATGAAACTCCCATTGACACCTTTGTGACTACGTGAAAGCTATTTTAAAAGAATTTTAAAGTATTTAAATATAACCATGGATATATTTGTTAACTTGCAATTTTAGTGCATAGTTTAAATGCTGCTTAGGTATTGAAACAAGCTTTTCAGAAATAAACATTTCATGTTTTGTTGTTGTCAGTCATGGGGCTTGAACTCTGGACCTGGGCACTGTCCCTCTTCAGGTCAAGGCTAGCCCTCTTCTACTTGAGCTACAGTGCCACTTCTAGTTTCCTGGTTGTTAATTGGTAGGGGAAAAACAACAGAGGGGTAACAATTACCTTAACTTAAGTAACTGTTAATCTCTCTGTACAGAATCTTTAATATATATATATATATATACATATATATATATACATATATATATATATGTATATATATATTTGTTGTTGTGGGACATTGGGCTTGATCTCTGGACCTGGGCACTGTCCCTCAACAATTCAACTCAAGGCGAATGCTATACCACTTGAGCCACAGCACCACTTCTAGTATTCGGGTGGTTTATTGGAGATAAGTTTCATGGACTTTTCCTGCCCAGGCTGGCTTTGAACCATGATCCTCAGATCTCAGCCTCCTGAGTAGCTAGAATTACAGGTGTGAGCCACGTGCACCTGGCTTAGGTTCTGTTCTTATATTTGTTTAGTAATTTGTTTTTCTTTGGCATATTCACTCCTAATCTCCCTAGAATATTGTTGAATTTTCAATGAAGTTTACATTTACACCTCAAACTCATTCAGTGACTTCTTATGGAAAAACCTCAAAGGAAAACTTGCAAAACTCTAAAACAACAACAACAACAAACCCTTTCATTTCCTACTTAATCTTTTCTAATCCCTAGGTAGATTTAGTTTTCTTCTCAATTGTCTTGATGTTTGAGTAATTGCTAGAAAATTTAGGAAATTTCCACTAGATAGAAATAGCTCTGTGGAATTCACTGTGGCTGATGGATTGCTCATTGGGCCACTCAAGTTATTCTGCAACTAAACTCAAAAAACAGTAGCCTTGACCCCATCAGGAGATGATTTGAATTAGAAGTGCTGGCTGGGTGACTTATTCTGGTAATCCTAGCTAATCAGGAGGCTGAGACTTGAGCCTTGTGGTTTGACGCCAGACCTAGGGAAATGCAGGAGACTCTGTATCTCCAATGAATCACAAAGAAAGCCTGAAGTGGAGCTGTGGCTCAAGTGGTAGAACACTAACCTTGAGCAGAAAAGCTCAGTGACAGTGCCCAGGCCTTGAGTTCAAGTCCCAGGACTGGCACCAAGAAAAGGTACTTTAGATAACCATCGTTTTGAAGCTTGGACCTGGTAACTATATTTCTAGTGCTGGATATCGTACGTGCCACCATCCACAAGCTAGCCAGCCGTGCTAGCACTTGAA